GGCAGCCTGGTATAAAGTCACAGCAGATTTTGTTAACATGTATTAGACAAAACAAATATATAAAAAAATACCTTTTAAAAGTCCCAAGATACTTACGGACTGAGGCCCTACTGTAAATGTGTCTTTTTCTGTGAATTTAAAAAAAAGTGTGTTTTTAGTAACCATGGAGGTATAGTCAATTTAAAACTTAAAGTCTGAGTGTCATTAAGCTGTGACACTCACTGATCAGTTTACCCCTAAATAGGGTACCAAAAACATAACATTCTCACCAGAGGATGAGAAGCTGAGGTACTTCTGGCGACCGTTGCCTGTAGAGTCATAGAACTTAAGGACATCAAGCACAGCCTGTGGGTTTTTCTTCTGCTCTGACTTGGTAATGTTTGACGTCTGGAGTAGTCGAGCCCATTGCTCTGGCATACCCTATGTATTAAAAACAGAAAGGAAAATGTGTCCAATAATGTAAGCTCTAATCTAAAGGACATGCTGTGCTTTGGTAACAAGAGAGCAGAGTTTAGTGAGTGAAAAATGAAAATAACCAAACAGCGAACTCACCGTGAACTCCCCTGTTACAGCGTCAAACCCAACATGTATGGTATGTTCAAAATCTGAAGGCGGTGAGATTTCTGGTCGCTCTTTGTCTCGATCTTTCTTCCTACCACCTGAAATTAAATGAACCTTTATCCAAATTGACCAGGACAACACTCGCTACAAACACTAGACTTGAACTTATTTTAGGCCAAACTTTTAATCTTTTTATCTCACTTTTTTCAGCCCCAGAGAAGATTGAGATGATCTTATTGCGCTTCCTCTCCTCAGGCACAGAAGGCAGCGGTTTAGAGCTGTGGTTGGCCGAAAGTGAGTCTTTGCCAGAGCCAGTGCTGAAGATAGTGCTGCTCATCCTGACCGGAGGGGCAGGGGGTTTATCCTCAGGATCTCCGTTATCACACATGGCCAGGAGGTGGTTACAAGCCTCACAGGGCTAACCAGGACAGGAATACAGCGTGTGAGGATAGTAAGTGGTGAGGGAGGAAGGCGGTGCTCACATCAGCATGAGACACTAGTGTGTTCATGCACTGCAGGAGAAAGAAAACACCAAGAAGTACCTGGAAAAAAAACAGATATATGAAAGAGTATAACTACGCTGTAATAAAGCTAGAAATACAACAGGGTGTAGTGACAAGAAAGCAAGCACCCTCTATAATAAAATAATAAGTTAAATTTGCTACAGAGGTTCAATAAGTAGGAACATTGGAAGGTGTAACGTTTCGTAAGAACCCTGAGCAGACAGAAAAACCTACACAAAGCCTGACATGTTTTCAGAGACATCACACTTTCTCTGTACTTGTGAAAAAGCTGCTGCAGAGACCTGCTGCACCAACTTTACAAAGTTAACTGCGCATAGAGTCGACAGGGGTACCCAAGAATAAACATAAGCATGATACACAGCAGACTAACTCGAATAATCAGCTCGTATTCTAACATCTGAAAGGTGGAAGAGGAGCCCAGATGACAATCAAAGAACGAAGTTGCTCCTTATCTAGTGCACAAAAATGAAAAGCTTGCACCTACTTTCTTCATTTTAAGGTTTATAAAGTACGAGCACAACCTCATGAATGACCCACATATTTCCATATAACGGTGTTCCTACTGTAATGTCTACTCAAAATGCCCTTCAAGAGAGTAACAACAGGGGCGGCTAGCGGGCTAAAGCTAGGATAACTACTTGGCCAACAAGTGTGCTAGCCAGAAGCTAACATTAGCAAGCTATAATAGCGACTGCAAGCCTTAAATAGAGCTTTCAGCTAACGCTAACTTGACAACCAAGCTTGAAGGTTCCTCCCCATGAGCCGCCAAAAATAACACTGTTAAGCGGTGCTTTAGAAATCACAAAACATACCAATTCACAAACTATTCCGCACAAATGAGCTTTATTTAGCTAAAGAAGGCGACGCAGGAGCAGAGAAGCTTACCGGAGAATCCACACCAGTTAAACTTGATTGGAACTTCAGTCCAGAACGATCCTCGACGGTGTGCAAAACGTCTGTATATCCTTTAAAAGTTATTCCCCCGTAACAAGGGCTCCCCGGTGGTACAGCCGGCGTATAAATAACTTAGTACAAAGGTTATTCCAACTATTTACAGTGCAACTTTTCTTCTATCTTTTCGGCCCTTGGATAATTCCGCTATGGCGAAGGGGAAGCGGAACTACCGACCCAGCCCTGGCCTGTTCAATAAAATGTTTCAAATGAATGTGTGTTGACAGTGTTGGGAAAGTTACTTTGAAAAAGTAATTAATTATAGTTACTAGTTACTTCTTCAATTAGTAACTGAGTTACAATATTCTAAAAGTAATTAATTACTTGAAAAGTAACTATTGTGTTACTTTAAAAAAAATGTTTAACCCTCTGGGGTCCAGGGTATAATTGGCCATTTTTAACTACTTTTGATTTTCCCTCCACATTTCACCTTTAAAAACTATTTACTTTGCCTTGTTTGGTATCATCTTTTCAGCACAACCTCACGTGTCTGAATTTACAGTTATGTTTTCATTTTGACATACTGTATTAACACAATTGATCTAAAATCAGACAAAAAACATAAAATCAGAGTAGAAAAAGTTATATTTTTTACTGTAACAACCACAAACATGTTTAATGAATCATATTTCATAACTTTAAATGCAAATATAAATTGTCAATTTTAAAATCCTATGCACAAGTTTTGCAAACAACAAAGTTATTTGCATCCATTTACCTTTTACCTTGATTTTTTTAAATAACCATTTCAAACTATTTACAGAACAATCAGCTGTTCTGCATTCAATAAGATGCCACACAAATTATTTGTGCCACTCCAAATATTTCTGTCCACTATAAAGGAGAACATCACAGCCTGATACCTGCAGGTCTGACAGCAGCAGTGTATCACTCCTGTTTCTACCTGGAGACAGCAGTCGCCTCATTGTTCTGACACTACACGCAAAACACCACAACACAACACATTAACTACATGGCGAAGACAGTCAGCTATCTGAAGCAAAGAAGAAAAAAAGAAAGAAAAGAAAAATCAGAGCCCGTGTGCAAAACCACACGGATCATACCCGGAGCTCCAATAACACGTTTTTAAGCATTAAGAATAATAAAAATGTGAAACATGCTGAAACCTATTAAAGTGGACGTTTAAGGTAATGTAGTTCAGCATTTACAGATGTAATTTTCCAGCTGCAGAGCAATTATTTTGTAAATTATAAATGAAGTGTGGCAGGTTTCTCTCACTAATCTGACATTAATGTAACGTTTGTTTATTTTCCTGCCTTAAGAAATTTTAAATGGCCTAATTTTGAAAGCCTAATTTTACTCAGATTTTTATGGCATAAATGAAAAAAAGGAAATAACATACTAGCAAATTTACTTTCTATACACGCATCATTGTTTCTCAAGCTGTGAGAAACGACAGAAAAATGTACAGACTTATGTTAAGTAACAAAGACTCATTCCAAATGAGGGCAATTTTTTTATAACAACAACAAAGGCCTATTTTGAGAGAGGAAAAACAATATAGACATATAATATATTAGTTATATTGAAAAAGGAAGATGATGGGTTAACTACTTATTAGTTTTCCTGCAGTATAGTTCATAAACTACTTAGAACATAAACTAGTTAGAACTTATAAGGTTCTTCATCTTCTTTCCCCTGCTTCCTTTAGGGGTTGCCACAGTGGGTCATCTGCCTCCATCTCACCCTATCCCAACATCCTCCTCAATTTCTGACTGTGCACTTCCTGGTCCCTTCTAATGACAATCTAAACATGTTCAGCTCCGCTACCGCCAGCTTGGCCTCCTGACTTTTTATCAGTGCCATCTCGTCTCAGGTCTCTCTACCATCATGTAAACCTTCATTTTCACTCTACTGCTATCCTTCAGTCACAAATCACCCTTGGCACTCGTTTCCACCAACTCCAACAGATAAAACTGACTTTATAACAAAAATGTCTATATTTTGTGCATATAGTTATCAACTGAAGTTAAAATAGGGCTAGATCGTACTATTCTGTATTAACAGTTTGTTCCACAAGATGGTGTAGAAAGTCAACATGAGAGGAAGAGGAAATATGGAGAAGCAGAGGAAGCACCTGGAAAGTAACCGTTATCAGCAGCAGCATCACCTCCCAGAGGGAAATCAAGTAAAACAAGAGGAGGAGTTAATGAGGATGCTGAGTATATTACTGGTATGATAAAAGCTGTTGGTGCTAATTTTTCCAGTCAAAAATAGCTATGAAGCAGATGCTATTTGCAGTGCGTGTGCTCTTACTGATATGTGATTTAGACAAAAGACAGTTGTGATCCTCTCAGGTAGAGAGCATATCCAGATCTTTACTGGGGGATCTCAGGTACATTTTCTTACTACACAGGAGCTGATACTTACATGAAGTATTTCTAGTAAAATGCTGCACCTGGTGGTGAAAGTTTTAGTTAAATTTTACAGAGGGTGACTTCAAAAAACACTTCTACTGTGTTGACACTGTGTGACTATGCGCCTCTCTTTGCTCATTGGTGATGCATAATATGTTGCAGACTTAATTCTTTTTAACAAACTATGTGATTATACAATTTCTAAATTACCCTAAGCATTTTCTCTGCAAAACAAGAAAAATATTGGACTGGCTCTTCATTGACTGCATTGTTTGAAGGCGTTTCCATGTTCCATGTTGTGTAGTGCCACATGCACTACCCAACAGGGTCAAGAACATACAACTACAAATGGAGCCTTGTAGGAGACCAAAATTGGATAACAGATGTAATAAGACAAGACATAAGCTGACAGAATAAAAAACTTAGTTTTTCCTGACAGCATGCACGGCAGCACAGTTTGTCACTCATAAATCAAACATCCAAACGTTGGCACAGGATGACACCTGGTACTCTGTCTCAAATGGATATGACCTTTGCCTCATCATGGCATTCTTTAAACTGCCACAAGAAAAGAATACTGATAACATTGTTGTTATATTGTATTTATAGCAATCTGAACTATATACATTTTATTCAGTGTTAAAATACAGATTATACTACTGTAGACTCCAGTTTTATAATTGTGTTATTATAATAGCCCATTTTACAGTCAAAAATAAATGAAAATCACAACCAAATAGCCCAAAACTGAACAAATTAATTGATAAAAACATGTTCCTTAATTAGGTGCGCTAAACTGAACAGATAAAGAATCATGATCCTCCCAAAATGAGGTCATAGCAGGAAAAATGCTTGCACAGGTTGCAGGATTCACAAAGATAAACATAGTTACATTAGCTGGAATGGAAAAAGATAAATTCTGATATCTTTCAGCATTTATCTGTTGTTTCAGCAATATCTCAATATTCTTTCCCATCTCAATTAGTCCTGTTCTCTGCTGCAACATTTCTGCAGATAAGATGACAACACTGAAAGTGCCTCTTCCTTGTCAGTTTGATAAAAAAATAAAAATGCCAGTACAATTTTAGCTATTTAAATGACTTGATGTTTCCACATGTATTTGGACAGTGCCACACAGCAGATCATTGTGACAAGAAGAGTCCCTCCGCATACGTGTGCCACCAAAGACCCATCACCCACTGGGAGCTGGAAACTCACTGGATTGAGATCCTATAAGGCAAAAGGGAAACAAGTGAATAATTGAGTTTTGTTTTTGTTTTTTTTATCACCTTTTCACTCAAGATTTGTTGAAATATTGTTCACAATCACCTGCTGAGGCTTGACTTTAACCCAAGAACAAGTGCTTGAATTGCTGGCAGTGCATGGTGCATCCACAACTCTGTGAGGCTCTAAGCTGCTGAGCTGTGCGCCTGGATAAGAGAAATAGTTTTAGAAGAAAGTGTTTCAGAAAGCCAACGTGAAAAGGCTTTAAGTCACGTTTTTGTTTTTACACTATAAAGTTTTGATCACTAAACTTATTATATGTATGTAACCTATGACTGTTGTATCCACAACCACAAAAGTGAAATAATTTGGTAATATTCATTGACACTCCACTTTCATAGAAAACAGATACAGATTTAGGTTTTTACGCTCCCACATCATTTAGTTTAATTATGCAGTCAGGTAAAATTGTATTGTGAACAGTAAGGTTGATTTAATGTATTTAGTTAATTTGTTTCATTACACATTATGACACAAAATTGTATTTTAAATATCACATCTGGTTAACATTGTTTTCCGTCTGTATAGATTTACACAGTGTCAGAAATTGCTATAAAATAAAATGAATCCACTTACATTTTTCTGACCGCAGCAGCAGCTCTGGAACTTCTATGTCAACAGATTTAAACATTTTTCCATCAAACGAGGGCTTGTGGTAGCGACCATGTATTGGAATTGTTACTTTGAATAACTTGGAAGTTGGTCCAGTGGAGAAAGGATACACATAGGTGACAAATCCTGAAGCTTTGTGAGCAGGAACCTCAAGGTCAATGGCTGAATCTAGTAACATCTTACAAAGTTTAACACAGAAATAATTAAATAAAACATATATACTGTACACATGTTTTGTACATGACTGTGGTTTGTAGTAGAATTTTACACTGTGTTATGCTATATCTAGTTGCTCGGCATCTTACCTTCCAATCGTTTTGATCACTAAGGGATGCAAGTTGATATGGATCAACATAGACATCTCTGGGCCATCTATGAATCAGCAAAACTTTGACACTACTGAGCTCTTTGGATCTGAACTCAACTGTAGTTGTCACCTCCCTAAAACATATTAGAAAATATCATTGATTTTCCTGACAAGCATCCCCAAAGGCAGCACAGCTTTCTTTTGAGAAAACAAACAACCGAATACCTGTGGAAACCCTTTTTGTTGAGCTCCACTCTCACTGATGAGGGCGCAAGCCACTGCCTCAGAAGATCACAGTGGTTCTGAATCTCATCTGCACAAATTAGCAGGTTACACTGATCAGGTAAAAGCTTTTTGAATTTGAACAAGGTGCATTTGTTTTTCAAACTGTGCTAGATTATATAAGTCATGTTATCCATACAGGGGTATATTTACAGCACTTTCTTGTCTACTGTAAAAATACTATTGCTTCCTTCAAACTTTAACCCCCCAACAAACAAAAAAACAACAACCCAAAAAACAACCCACAAACAAACAAAAACAAAAAAAACCCAACAACTTAATTTAAATGACCTTCAATCAATAATAATGAGAGCTTATTGAATGACTATCGAGTTTTCACGTAAAACCTAGTTCACGTACCCTTTTCGCCCAAACAAAGACATTTCGAGAATAAGCTCAACGCAGAAACAACATAGAACAGTTTAAAATACATTAAAAAAATATAATGGCCAACGCTGAGGCGTGCTTATTTAACTCAAGCACAGCTACTACCGCTTAAGCGCTTCTTTGAAGTGTTTACGGAAGAGGATTTTTGAAGGCCCCTTTTGTAGTTTCAAGGAGCCTGCAAATGTGCCTGTGTAGAGATTGAAAAACACAAGCTTTTAAGGAAACATTTAGTAACATTTATAGACATAGAAAGTAGTTTTCAGGAATAAAATGAATAATGATGATACGTGAAAGTTAAATGATTTTATATTATTTTTTTAAATCCGAAATTTAACGTCAGGCATCCCAACAGACAGAAGCGTCTTTACGTGAAGGCTCCGCTGGCAACCTGGCAACGCGTAATCATCCCTGAAGCCGCTGCCCAATTTTTTTATTCATACTGTGCGCTAGTAGCAACAATTATGGCTGGGATGTTTCTGTTTTAAACATGTTTAAATTGATGGTCGGATTGAGTTAAGTTTGTTTGTTGTAATAGAAGTACAGGATGCGTTTTGCGGCAAAGCGCTGCGGGGTGCAGTTCAGCCCTCCATCCATAGTTTTAATTTATGAGCACACGGAAACCAAAAAGGTGCGAAAAAGAATAATACCTGTGCGAAATTTCTCCAAATACTCCGGTAAGGCACCACGGAAACGTTGGGACTCGTTCTCTTTGCTCTATGTCACATGTTGCTAGATATAAGAATAGAAATATCTAGATCAGTGTGAGAATATTATTTTAGCCTCGTTTGCTGTATATTAATAATTATATGATACTCTAGTAAATCTAACAAACCTGTCAGAGTCATGAGCCCCTGAAGTTTTAATTTCTATATCTTGTGGATAGCAGCAGGTAGATTACCTGCAAGCTGTTGAGCCTCAGGCTCCTATTTTTGACTAAAATAGGAGCATCTTACTTTGTTTAACTAAGGTAGTGAATGTTAATAATAAATAACTAATATGTAATACATGGAAATCTACCTTTGTCGTACTGCGTTTTTTCCTTCCTGTTTTTGTTTTGACATAGTTGCTGTGATCAGAGCTGGAGTCATGAATGCACACTGCATTAACATATGTATGTAGCTTAGTTTGTTGTTGTAGATTGCCACAAAGTAACTGGGCAGGACTACAACCAACCTATTACCTCATGCTGTCTCTTCCAGACTACAGCATGGCTGCTGAAAGGCTGAAGAACAACCCTCGGCACAGGGACTACCTGGAGGGTGTCTCTCAAAGCCAGCTTGAGAAGCTTCACATTATCCTGCGCGATCACATGCAGGGCTTCAGTCTGGAGCACAGCCTCTCCTCGTTCTGTCTGGACCCTGACGAAGACCTGAACAAACTGGACGATGAGGACCTGGCACGCAAGAAAGGCCAAATGGACGAACTGTTTGAGAAAAACCGGAGACGCAAAGATGATCCTGACTTTGTTTACGACTTTGAAGTTGATTTCACTAAGACCACCTTAGAAAAGTGCAGCTGGGATGATGAATCAGATGATGGATTTTGAAACTCTCTTTTTACCAATGTTTTAATTAAGAATGTAGATTGTAAATCTATAGTGAGACTGCAGGAACATACAACCCAACTGATGTAGATGGCAATGCTTCAATAAATGTCAATATAGTAGAAATACTATGCCTTTAATCAAACAAAAAACCACCTTGAACCTCCGTTAATGGCAAGCAAAGACCAAAGCCTGTTAATCAAGGGAAACTAGAGCTATGATTTGGTGTCTGTGTACCATAGCATTTATCTGTAAAATCTTCTCGGGCGCTGATAATTGGCATCTGTCTTGTGTCAGTGACGTAAAAGACTGATTTAATGCGACATGACCATTCAAACAGCAGTCGCTTTCTAAAACATCAGATATGTATCGGATTCAGTACCACATATGAAAGTGACCCAGATCGGATGTGAAAATATCAGATTTGTGCTGTCTACACTGTCATACCATAATCGGATATGGGTCACATAGGGTCAAAAAAAGTTGGATTTGATGCGCTTTCGCCTGCAGTGTGAACGTAGCCTTTGTGACAACCAAAAGACAGATATTAAATTTATGACATCCAGTGACTGCAGTCTCTAACACTGATGACAAAGCACCCATGTTAAGGCAAATTACTGCACCTGAAATACTGTTACCCAACTAACTAACCCATAGTTTAAGTTTGTTAAGAGTTTCCCTCAGGTCAGGGTTAATAAACTCCATTTTAACAACTTGCTTTTGGGAACAGGCCTCCAGCAACACCTAGACTTCATTCATGGAATGAAACAGGCAGAGTTTAGAGGAAGATTTCTAAATCAGGGGAAACAAAACCAAACAATGTTTGAGAACAACCTGATAACATACTGATAACAAACATTAATTCCATTTTAAGCTGCAGTAAACAAAATCATGCATGGATAATAGTGAATCTTTATTTGTTATAAAATACTGAATTTTACAAAATACAAAGACTTTGGTTCTTTTATTTGTGGCTTACACCTAGATGAGTGATATTCACAGTTGAATATGAAGATTCTAAAATCCTATTAAATAAAATCTGAGTGTACACCAGGAAGTAAGCAATACAACAAATATATCTTTGGGGGAAAAAATGTGTGCACAAAATAGTTTTATATCATACAAAATATATATATACACTTCCATATATATGGTCTGACATGATGTTCTATGGCAAAGTTTTAAAAGAGATAAACTATAACATAAAACTAAGCCTGCATTATCAAACCTTGTAAGGGGAAAATGTCATTCAAAGTGCTTAAATACCTCATTCAGTTGACAATAGACACTGACTGACTGACTGACCATAAGTACCACAATACATTCAAAGATGTCGCAGGTTTTTGTTAAAATGCAATACAGAATGACTTTACATTGCTTTGCTAGTTTGGTTTAAGCTAATCAAAACAGTTTTTTACATTGTTATCAATTGCAGTCATTTTGCAGTGCCGATGTATTCCCTAAGGAGGTAGTAACAAAAAAACTGACAATTCCTTTTCCCCATCACCATTTACACATGGATTAGGGCATCTGAATTGTAAATTCTCAGCAGGCTGTTAATTTATTTTAAAAAGTCATTTATAAAACTGACATTTCAAGTATGCTTAAGACACAATCCGGGTTTTTGAGTTAGTCTTTACACATGCACACGCGCGACAACCGCACACACACACATAAACAAGCAAATGACTTAAGAGGAACAACTTTCTGAATGACAATTTGTGAAAACTACACCCAGAAGATTACCCAGATTTACCCAGATTAGACAAATAATACATAGGTAAACTAGTCATTTTAGAGCTACTGGACAAAGACAGGCATCTTGAAATCCAATAACACGGACATAGTAAAGCAACAAGTATAGATATACTCCAACTCCGGATTAGGCCTTTAAAGAAAGCTTTATGATCCACCATTTATATGGTGCGCTGTACGAACTAAAATATTTTATATATTTATGACATTACGAAACTCTACCCAAAGTACAGATGTTAGAGAAGCACTTCTGGAAATATGAAAACTCATTTTTTCTTCCTGTCCTGGGTGCATCTCGGACAAAACCTGACAGAGTAAAAGGAGGGGAATATGTTAATTTGCTGCAGAAAGAAAAAGCGTAAGATTCCATGAATAACTATATTCTCATCACAGACAAAGAGAATAACACTGTTACTACTCAAAAACGTACCATTTTCCTTTGGGTTTTGTGGCGAGATCAACACAAGCAAAGTGAAACCACTCAATGGGGCACTAAAACCAAGAATAACAAAGAAAAATGTCAATTTAAAAATTTTACCTAAACTTGCTCAGTCAAAAAGGTTCTTACAATAAAGCTTAAGAAGAAATTATAAGTGAAAACCTACATCTGGGTTATCACATCCTATCATTTCTCCATATGACACCTGATGACACAGGCAGTATGTAGGTTCATTTGGATCGACCGGCATGTCCAACACGTCTGATGGCTGCATAGGCAGGAGAGCGTCACTCAAGTCTGGGCTAAAAGACCAACATACAGAGCATGGTTAGAACTAAATATAAACATGAGCCAATTATCCAGTAAACTTGAGTTTGATTGAAGCACTGGTTCAAACTTACCTGTTTTTCATCTTTTTCTTTCTGGGAGAATCTTCATCTGAACCTTTCCTTCCTCTTCCCCTGGATCCACGCTTCTCTCTCAGCCCCCGCACATCATTTTCTGGGGAAAATATTTGCATTATTACACACTTAAAACTCTTGTCTTTTGTTGCGTTTATGATCAAAGGCGTGCAGTCACTCAGCTTACTTTTCAAACCTCTGCCCTCTGTACTGTCATAGCTCACTTCTAGTTTCTCCTTGAGTTCATTCTCAAACCGTGCCAGATCTGCATCCAGCCTGCGGATATGTTTGTCCACCTACGGTAGAAAGATATTGTGCATATTTAAATCTGAGTACATGTACACATTGATGATGTAAATCTGATAAACAGGGACAAAAAACAAAAATAATATGACATTAGAATCTGGACAGTGACAGGAGACACATTGTTTCGGACTAACCATTTCATATGTCTGCATTGCGAGCTGGACTTTGTCATCACTGAACTCTTTGCACTTGCTGTAGGCATTCTGGATCTTTTGCAGGTGTTCAACTCTCTGCTCAGAAGCTAGATTCTTGACATTTGCGATGTACTCCTCAGCCAGTTTGTCGATCTCTCCTTTCTTTTCTGCACAACAAAATGATTATTAAAGTGCTGAATAAAACTAGTGATAAAATATTACATGTAAGCTTCCTATTTACAGTTATGGTCAGAAATTTTCATACAGTTATTGTAGGCATGAATGCCATGGTAAGTTTGCATAGAGCTAAAACAGGGTCAAATGTTTTATTCATTTAAGTTTAAATTTTTATATCTAAAAAATATAAAAAAATCTAAACTATTTTTAAAAAAAAAATCAATTATTTTGTATTGAATAAATTATTTGTTTTCATGCAAATCTGACATATCAATATGTTGCAACCTAATGTTTGTAACATTGATATACATTAAGGTGGGAAAAGATTTACCACAGCAACAAGGAATACTGTTATCTGATTGGTTTGTAGGTCACTTTCCCACAAGAGCTCTGAACTCCATAGCAAAATCTAATAATTTAATAATCCTGTTCATTTCTGTATATTATACTGAAATTAGAATCTGCCAACTTAATATGCCTTTAACCTTAATGTATATATAGAGTTCGTATCTCTTGCTATGAATTAATAATTTCCTTTAAATGATTTCCTTGAACTGTTCTTATTCCAGGGTGGAATGACTGCATCGCATAAATCTTTAATACCCTTATCAAACAAGACTTGGATGCACAAGTTTGAATATATTTTGGATTTTCTCTAGTCACAAAGGGTCGAAAGTGAGTGGATGTAAACTATTGACAACTGTTTGTCTAAGACTACTGGTAAGTGGCACAACCTAATACATAAGGAGCCTGGCTAAACTGGGTTTTCAGGTATCACAGATTATAATGTCAGAGCAATTTGTTTATTTTGTATAAGTCCACAGAGCGTTTTATTGACTGTAATGTTAAGAGATTAAATGATCACCTTCAGTTCTGTTGTCCAGGTCCCGCATCAAAGTGAAGTTCCTTTGTAGCTCACATGGCAAGTTTTCAATACCTAAAGAAAAGATTAGACAATATTAATGCCTAACAGTTCATTCCAATTACATTTTCTGAACATAATCATCACACTTAATTAATTATAACCTGTGCTGTAATGCCTTTTAAAAAGGCAAATGCACAAACTCAACTGAATGCTTTAAAATCAAAGAAATATAAATAAGAAGTAAAGAGCAGAGGTTATTATGACATTAATTACAACTTAGAAATCATTAAGCTTTACACTGAAGCCCTTCTTGTTCTACTTCCTCTCTTTATGAGTTTAATTCTGTCCAACCTGGTCACTCCCAATGCAAATCATAATCTTTTTGTTAGCGTTCACTACCACCTACTCAACCCTTTCAGTCTTCCTGTTATCCTTCTGTCACAAATCTGCCCTGACACTTGTCTCTGCCCACTCCATCCTGCCTGCATTCTCTTCTTCACCTTTAATGCTAAAGGCTAAAATTACTTTTGTCATTATACTTATATAACATTTCATACAACATTTAAAATACTTGAGGTCAAATCTGCACATTAAACACAACACAAATACCATCACAACCATACACTCACGTGTGCATGAATTGCAGAATGTTGTCGTGTAACAATCTGTCTGTACAAAATAACGCTTCACATGTATTACATTTGTCCCAAAAGCAGACATTATTAAGGGCTCATGATAACAACAACTGTCAAGTAAATACACTCTGTATGCCATGTGACACACTTCAAACACCCCGCCCCGGCGCGTAAACTGTTACGGGAAACGCGGCAACCAACAGGTTGTAAATGATTTCCTATATAAAAACACAAACTGTGACTAAAATGAACCTAGCTTAAATATAAAGACTGTTAATATAACAATTTATCTCTAAATGCCCTTATATAACTAATGCTAGTTGCGTAGCTACAGGCTGCTCCAACATTGCTAGCGCTTGAATCAGAAACGGTTGCAACCTATAGTCAGTTTTCCTAAATATGTGAAAACAGTTAATTATTACATTCCCTTTTGACTGAATCTGACAAGACACATTAAGATCTTACCTACCCCACCTTTATCACTCCTAAGGTAATGCTAACCAGTTAGCTGGCGGGCTAATGACCTAACAGCCTGTTAGTTGCAAACGCACTGCATTGAAACCGCCGTCCAAAAATGTATAATAAATTAAACCTTTAAAAGTTGCATTTTCTATCTGTTGACAGAAATTTACCACATTCTGGATACTTACTGTCAAGGTAATGTTCCAAGTATATTGCAGTCGCCATTTCGAATTAGCTGTTTAGCTTCTGCGTTACCCTCGTTAGCTCCTCAAACTGTTGGCCAGAGAGGTTGGGTTTGTTTTGTAACCCTGGGTCGCCCGTTGGTCAGTTGGCTTGGCGTAATGCGAGTTTGTCTGCAGTCACAGGCTTCGCCGAATTAAATGAAGCGAGGCTCACAAAAACACAGGAAGTGACAGTTTACCCCAAGCGTGCCTTCACTCCGAACATGCGTGCTGGAGGACAGGGCACAACTTTTTAAGTTTGGTACCTCACATGTAATAAAAAAAAAGTTTCTAAGTACTATTCATTTACTCAAGTATTACGAACACGTAACTTTGCTCCCAATCTCCTCAGCTACTGTGTTTATACTAGTTTATACGCGTTCTATGCCAATTTAATGCATAATTAACCAAATGTATCAGCCAGACATGAAGAAACCAACAGGCAAATTCGTTACACACACACACTCCTAATGGAATCATGTTTAATAAACATGAGGAATATTAACACAAGCCTCGCCGTCGGCCATGTGATTACCAAACGTTAGAAACGAACTTCAACAAGCGCGCCCTCGCTCCGTTTGCTAGCACTTTCCACCACTGTCAGCTGATAGGTTACGTCATCCAAAACAAAAACCTCCCTCTCGCGGAAAGACTGAACATTCGTGAAGATGCTCTGTGGGCGTGGCTTAAGGCCTCCGTTGTGGACAGTAACAGTGTCAGCTAAGTTTAGCGGTCAGGGTTTTTCCTCTCCGTGGAAGGAGTCTTCTTCTTTTTATTTTTTTTGCATCTCACTTCCGTGTTTGCTGTTTCTCCACGAAAAGCTTGATATCACTCTCCCCCCAAAAAGCATACAAGAAATCAAGTAGGTAACTAATTTATCCAATGCGTTTACAAGTACGGGTACTAATGCCGTCGGTTAAAACGACAAGTTGTGTTGTTTTAGCGTATTATAAACACGGCTAACCGATAGGTCAGCTTTGTAATGGCGACGTGTTTATATTAAAAAGCCGCTAACGGTTAGCGATAACCTACATATCAAATAACTTATATCATATAAAACCCACATTATAACAGGGTTGCTATGGGTGGCATAGCAGTTATTAAACATGAGGACGACCTACTCACAACTGGCCTAGTCTGACTTAAAACCAGGATGACATCTAAGTAAATAGCCTAAACATTGGTTAAAGCAGGAGAACTGTCAGTTATCTGGCTTCCACCAATGTCATGTCCTAAACATTGTCTAACTAAGCATGGGGGGACTACAGAGTAACTAAACATGGTGTTAATATTTCTGGCCATGTGGCCATATTACATTGAGCTGTTATTGTAACCTATCCTATCCTATCTTATCTTATATAAGCTTATGTTTCTGAAAATAGATTTGTGAACTTGCTAATAGTGCTAACAGTCACGAGGTTTGTGTTGGACATGCCACACCCAGTCATATGCTCCTAGTGTCTCAGTAATAACAGATGCGCTCTAATGTGTTTACATTTTATTCTGTAGGTGTTACTTCCAAGATGGCCATGGTAAAGAGTGGCTGGCTTCATCGACAAAGTGAGTATCCAGACACATTAAAGGAAAAACATGAATGCTTGACCTCCACAGTAATGGATCTATTAGTGTTTATGCTGTAAGTGGGGGCAATTGTGTGGTTTAGATGACCTGTATCCTACAATGAAACATTTTTAGCCTGATAGTAGTGATGAGATATGAAAATGATAACACAGGAGACTTTGGATCTCAACCTAATCGCAGAATATTTGTTGGAAGAAGGATATTTCATTACTCCAGTAAAGAGGGGTCTTTTTTTCTTTTCATTTGTCACCCATCTATAAGAAAACAATATAGCCATAAATATGTCAGATACTCAGATGGTTAAGATGATGTCACATTAAAAATAAACAAACTACCTTTACTATGTCAGGTACCATACTGCGTCGATGGAAAAGAAACTGGTTTGACTTATGGGCTGACGGACGACTTGTGTTCTACAACGATCAACAACGGCGCGACATGGAGGACGACATCCACATGAGGGTCAACTGCATTAACATCCGCAACTCCGCTGGATGTCAGGGTACATGTCTTACGCTTAATGTTGATCTCATGCGGCTGATCCCTATGCTATTATTACCCACCTCTTTGCACTAATTTTAAATGTTTCACCACCCCACTTGCATTTTTAGAGCTGAACCCACCGGAGGGAAAGACGCGTGATGCCTTGTTCCAGATAGTGTGCAGAGATGGACGGGTCATCAGCCTGTGTGCAGACAGTGCAGATGATGCTCTGTAAGACTGCACATACACACCAAGTCATAAAATTAGTTAGATGTATTTGAGTACAGGTAATTAGAACAGACATTTTTAACTCAAGATGACATAATGTCTGCTTTTGTTGCAGGGCATGGACAATGGCACTTCAAGATGCCAGAGTTAATATGGTGAGATTTTTATACATTATTTAAAGTTAGTGTTGTTGTAACTGACAGTCTGTCATTTTCTGTCACATTACCTGAATAAGCTCTGAATAAAGCTGAACTAAGAGTGACTTGAGCACAGCAGAAGAACTGTCCTCCTGGGAGGAAAACTGGATATTTTTTTTATTGTTTTCACTTATCTTAATGTTATGTGCTTGAGTTTTTTTGGTGTTGGCAAGCTTCAGTTGCTGATTTTTGTTATTTGATACTTTTAGGTGGTCACTGCTCCTCAGATCGGCTTTGCACAGGAGGTGATTGCATCTGCTCCTCCCCCCTACTCGGAATATCCTCCCCAACCGGTGAAAAACATTAATACATTTCTTTTCATGTTCATAACTGAATAAAATTACTTTTTCAGGTCTAAAGTCTTTTATGAAAATAGTGCTACTTACAACATTTGTCTGTGGTTTAGCATGACTATCTCAAGTGAAAATCAACTCAGTGATTAATGTAAAACAAAACAAAAATCAACAAATCCAGTCTTTCTTCTATAAGCCATCTAATACAAAGGGTTTATTAATACAGTAACATCCTTTGTGTCACTTTGTTAAATGTAATTTTTTTTGCCAGGTTTATGCCCCAGGCCCATATGGAGACTACACTGCACCGCCCCCACAGGCCACACAGGTCGTATACTCTGCTGATGGGCAGCCCTACACAGTTGCTTATCCTTATCAATACCAAGGTAAACAGCTGGACATTGCCCACCACTAGTTTATAGGAATCCTGGTAGCTAGAATAGAATAGAATAGCCCATTATTGTCACTGTAGATGTACAACAAAATTGCGGACTAACTAAACTCTGACCTAAATTTGATTGTCGACAAGCGGACATCTTCACAATATGCATATCCATAATGCAGTAAAGTGGCTGGATTTGATCCTTATAAAAGAAGTCTTCAGTATAAAAGTAAAATCTTTCCACTTTGAAAGGCCTAATATTTGTTTATCCGTAACTGGCTCATTTCAGAACGTGACTGAACTTAGTGGTTGTCAACATACTTCTGAGATTCCCATACTGAGGAAATGGTGCATAGAATGGGATTTCTGACGCAGTAATTACCAGTGCTGTCATCCTGATGCTTAACAAGAGTATTACATACCATCTTAGTTACTATAAGAACATTTGCTCATTAACAAATAGAAAAACATGCAGCTTAGTCTAAAATCTTTATTAGTTTTTCAGGTACTTAGATAAAAATGTATCATGGACTTTAAATTCATTCTTAAACAAATGGGTCACAAAAACCCATCTAGATGTTCTTATTTGTGACCAGAGGATAAAGTGAAAAAGTAGAATAGTTTAACAGAGTTTAAATTGTATGAACTTACCATCATAAAACTTGTGTTTTGTAGGTGGGTACGTTGCTCCTGGAGTGAACCATGTCATCATTCGGGAGCGACAGCGTGACGACGGAGGAGATGTGGCTTTGGGCATGCTCGCTGGAGCGGCAACCGGTTTAGCACTCGGCTCTCTCTTCTCTGTATTCTAGCGTCAGAACTAATGTACTTCTAGCAGCCAGTGACTCCCT